GGCTAGAACCTCTGGGATTGGATAAAAAGTAAAATGATAGACACATGCTTCTTTGACACAGGTGGGCATAGGATAGCGAACAGCCAACAATTAACAGTGAGGGAATTTGTGGTCTCTGCCCTGATGCCATTTGTTGGACCCTGAGGGGTCTGGGAAAAGGGAAGTTACATGTTACCCCGACATTCCACAGGTGTGTTTGCAAAAAGATGGTAGGCTCTAAATAAAGATCAAAGTTGATCTTTGCCAAGAAAGATACCGGCCCAGGACACAACTACCCTCTGTAAACTGCTCTTTAGTGAAAGGCTTTCATTTCAGGCCCCCAGTGAGGTTCCTGTAGGTCTCTGAGTTTGCAAGGCCGCCACAGCGCCAGCATCGGGCGGACAGACAGGCCTCCGAACTCCCGTTGGGCAAAGCAGCCCCACCGAGAGCCCAGTGCTCTCAGGGCAAGATGGAGTTGGCCCGCGTTCCAGCTGCTTGGTGTTAGAGGGCGCGTTATTCGACCTCTATCTGCCCCAGATCCTGGGAATTGGGGGCGAGTGCCCACCTTACTCGGTCTTCACGGGACTCGGGTGTGTCGCAAGCATCTGGGGTGGTTCCGGTCCCCATCTAGTGCCCCTGTCAGTGAAGTGAATATTGTCCCCTGCTCAGCGGTGTGAAGGGGGCCTGGTTTGACCACAAAGCAGCTGTTTAAGAGCCAAGATGATAGACACAGGCAACCAAAAGTTCCCTCTTGCCGAGGAGTGGGGACACCTGGTCTACCAGGTGCCCTGCAGGGCTGCCCTGGGAGAAGGGGAGACTGCCCTGAGCGTGACCCACAGCACGTGCTCCCACGGAGCTCCCGGAGCGGGATGTTCGTCTTGAGAAGAAAGTGTCTCCCGCCGTGACTCCCACAGACCCGCTCTGCCCCAGCGCGACCGTGGGCAGAGTTTCACTGAGCACATCTCTGCTCGGTCTGAGATGCTTAGTTCTTGCGAACACCGAGTCATCAGCTAACCGTGAAACTACTGAAAGGGTGTTCCCTTCAGAAGGGAGAAGGGCTGGGGTGGGAGGTTAGGGTGCCACGGTTTGTATTCTGTGCGTGGGTAAAACACACCCCTTCCTTGCCCTCAAGCTGGAAAGGAGAGATGCCAACCGCAGACAGGCAACGAGCTACCCAAAGAGACCAGCCTTGCCAATGAGACGCGGGCACGGGCTGCTGGTGAAATCTCGGTTTATTAGTGCGTTTGGTCTGAGGAATTCAGCTCCACTTCTTGACAGCCAGGTAGGTCAGGCCCAAGACTCCCACAACGACGGTCCCGGAGAGGCCAGCCACCCACAGGGTCCCTGAGTGTCCCGCAGAACCTGGTGGAGGGGAGGTAAGGGTGGTGACCTGGGGTGAGGGAGGGGAAGGGAAGTAGGGGTGAGGGAGGGGAAGCTTTGGTTTGCCCCCTGGTCCAGGTGGGCCCTTAAGTCTTCCACTCACTTGAGTATTTAGGAAGCTTTCCGGAAGGGCCCTCCGTGGCCTGGAGCAGGATCATGGGGCCCTGGCTAGAGATGAAGGCGGTGCTGTTGGGGTCATGGGCGTCAGAGCTTCTCCTTCCTGTTGGAGGGAGAGGGAGGGGGGTTTGTTAGGGTTTTGCTCACGGGGTTGTGGGGGGTCAGGGAGTGAGAGTCCGGTGTGAGGCAGGGTTCCTCAACATGGACAGCTCTGCTCCGGCCTGAAGAAAAAACCATGTGAAGTCTCACACACTAAACCTCTTATGAGCAGGTCTTACACCTCCTATTAGGACGTTAATAGGAATCTGAGCGAGACAGGCTTCATGTAGCGCTGTTACCTCATGGCACCAGAATGGGGGCCTCCAGGTCATGTCAGACTGCCCTGCCCTGCCCTTCTTTCCTGAACAGTAACTTAGACAATAAATAGCCTATGAACACCGCGATACAAAGGTAACTGGCGATCAGTTCACAGAGCAGAGCTTTGTTTGAATTCCGCGTCTTTCGCCAGCGACGGGGCCTTGGACAAGTTGGTTCTAGTTCTCGGGAGGGATGTGGATGCGGGATCATTGGAGTTAGACATGCGATACTTAACAGGTTTGTGTGTGTGTGTTTGTACCAGCAGAGCCTTAGAGCTTCAGGGGACATGGGTCCTATTAATTCAAGGGCGAGACAGTAAATGTTAGTGGATCAGGCGGAGACACACACACACACACACACACACACACACACACACGCGCGCGCGCGCGAGCTTTGGGCCTCCCTACAGCGCATATTCTAAGCCTCCAGTCATGTCCACTTGTAGATCTTCAGGCCACGTGGCAAGAGGTGCTTCAAGCAGGTGTAGAGTCTACCTTTACAAGCTGGCCAGGTAGAGGGGTGTGTGTGTGTGTGTGTGTGTGTGTGTGTGTGTGTGTGTGTAAGAATCAGGCCACATGTGAGCCATGAACCAGTTGGACTCCTGGCCTAGTGAAAATTCATACGGAAAACGCTAAGGCTGAGAGTTGCTGGAGGATTTTTAGCGTCTGTTTAAAAGGCCTGGGATTCGGAAGCCTCATAGAAGTCCTTGGAGAGGCCTCGTTAATAGGCTCATCTCCAGTCTGAGTCCCGTGCACTCGGGGTGGAAGGTTAACCTGGGATGCGTGTCGCGAGCTCGGATACTCACGCCTGGTCACAGGGCAGGCCACGCAGGACGGGGACCCCGCAGGCTGGCAGACGGACACGCTGCAGTGCAGGAACACCTGGGAGCCGAGAGAGTGGGGTCACGGGGTAGCCCCTCATCCCGAGAGGCCGAGAGCCCCATCTCCCCCAGAGGCTGTGCAGAGGCATTAGAAGGTCCCGGCAGCCCAAGCCCAAGCCCAAGCCACGGGGTCACTGGTACCGGGATCGTCCTGAGGCAGCACCAGCAGCCAACCTGGGAGGCCAGCTTGGCCGAGGAGTGGCGTCACGTGGACACCATGGAGGTGGGGGTGCAGAGCCCTGCCGGGGGACAGGGAAGGAGCATCATACCGGCCCCCCGAGCACCCGTCCGGCCCCCGCGTCCACGAAGCTGAAGGTGAAGATGCTGAACCGCTGGGCGTGGGAAGGGAATCGCAGGCTCTCGGTCTCCGGGACGGGGATCAGCTGGGTCCGGTAGTTGTCTCCGGCGTAGGGGCATCTAAGCACAACACCCAGTCAGGGGGAGGGGGCTTCCTGGGGGGGCTGCCTCGGGCACAGGCGCCAGCCGCTCACCCGTTCACCAGCAGCGCCCACTGCGGCTGCAGCCCGGGGTCGGGGCCCGGCGTGGCCCAGCACTGATGCAGCAGCAGCCCCAGGTCGGGGTCGGTCCTGTGGCGGAGGGCGACCTCCACGTAGATGGGGTCCCGGAGCAACTTCACCACCGGGTAGTCACCCGCGCGGTAGTAGGCGCTGTAGTTTCCATCTGCAAGAGGCCACAGTGAGGGGAAGAGGACGGAGCCAGGCCGCCCGGGGCTGCGTGAGACGGGCCATCGCCCACGCCAACGCCTCTAGCAAGTGTCCGTGGCGCAGGCAGGGTCTCCAGGCCCCGAAGAGCGACGGGCTCGGGCTGCAGCCAAGCGCTCCGGCCAAGAGGGTCTCACCTTTCGCGAGCTGCAGCTCCAGGGTGAGGGCCCCGGGCTGGGTCTCTGGAAGGGGCGGTGGGAGGAGGGAGACCTGGACGTTGACGGGGAGGGCGCTGCTGCTCACAGGGTAGGTGCAGCTGACGCGGAGCCTGCAGAGAAAGAGGCGTCAGCCGCTCCCCGGCGGGCGGGGCCCCTTGTGTGTCATGCGAGGAACTACTGAGTGCCAGGGGTTGGACACGCTTGTCAACATGGTGGGCGTGGTTCCTGGCCTGGGGGTGGAGGGGCTCTATTTGAGTTGGGGAGACCATTGTGGAAAGGGGGTCAGTATTTAGGAGAGGAAGATGTAAGAGACGCCCGAGAACAGACATGGGCCTGGAGAAACAGCTGCCTTTGGTGGAGAGTGCAGTCGGGGAAGATCAGACAGGGATTTGATACGAAGATGAAACCATAACGGAGGTCCAGGAGGGGGGACAGTTGACAAGAAACATCTGGAGGCAAGAAACACTGGAGTCAGGCAGGTGACAGGTTCTCTGGTCGCCAGGAATCGTCCCGTGGAGTCGGGCTCTGGGGACCGAGGACTCACCTACCAACCCCTGGTCTATGCCGGGAGGGCAGCTCGGCCTAGAGGAGCGGCGTCAGGCGAGCGAAGGCCTTTACCTGAAGGTACTGTCGCGGGTGATGGAGCCACGGCTCCAGGTTCTCACATCCTGGGCTGCAACCAGCTCGTTTTCATAGACGGCCTGGTCCCCAGTGACCTGGGAGGGCAGGTGAAGGAGAGGTGGCACGCCTGCTGGCCAGGGCGCTGCCCCAGCCCCTACTGGCATGACCGCTGCCCCAGCCCCTGCCTGCGGGCCCCAGCCCCCGCGATGCTATCCTGTTCGTGTTTGTGGCGTTTTCTGCTCCACAGGCAGAGGAGGGGACATAGTCACATCACTTCACTTGAGGACAAAGGAAAGGGAGGGGCTGGGAGGACGCAGGTGAGCTCAGGTGAGGCCCCTGCTTGCTTCTGGGGCAAGAGGATAAGAGGCGCCCCTTCCTGTTCTCTGCTGGTGGGGGCGCCAGGCCCCGTGCGCAGGGACGGCTGGGTGGCAGGGTCCCTGGGGTGAGCTCTCCTGTCCCAGAGACCAGCCCCCTGGATGCAGTGTTGGGGAGACCCTTCCTGCCCAGAGCCCCAG